AATTCATGCACATATCACAAAACTACAGACTATGTAAACTTTTAGTTTGTATGCCGACTCCTCCAGTAGCTAATATCAAAATTGAATCACTCTGGCCACTCAAGTCCTGAATATTGGCAGACAGTTAATATTTGCAGCTTAACGTCTTTTTACATGACTGATGCGTCATGACTGCTGCGTCATGAAGAAACCAGCATCGCTGGATATGCAGACAATTGCATTTTAAGATAAAGCGGGAAACGAAATAATTAAAAATGTTTAGACAAGATAACAAAGCGAACTGGGTGAGGCTGACCTCAACGGAAACGCCCTACTGATTAAAAACCATTTGATAGATAGATCGCCTCAGGGATTCAGAATCCAAGTGTTGAGAAGTGCAAACACTTTGCACCTAGAAGCAACACTCTGCATTGCAGTCTCTTTAGCAAATCTAAAGATGGAGAACCCAGACATGATCACGTAATTTGCGCGAAGAGCTTTCCAAACTTATTACTTCCGTCTAAAAAATTAACGTTTGCAATGTATGCCTTAATCTGGTGCATGTTTTTGGTAACCTGGCTATAAAGCTTTGGAGCCGATCAGTTAAGAATTCAAAGTTTACCAAAAATATTGAAAGGTTCTCGAGTTCATCTGCATTTAACTAAACCTCTTTCCTCCTTAACTTCATTTTATAATGTTCACGCGAATGAAAATGAAATCGAAACTCACCATTTTTTTGACTCCATCCTTTTTCACTTCGAATTCGAGCTGAACGCGACATTCGAGAATCTTTTTATCAATCAAGACATCGACAAACCAGCTTATGTTTGTGCACAGACATTGGTTTGGCCTGGAAAACGAGCAAGGATCGTGGCCAACCGTTTCTGCAGAGTGCTCCATAATCTGTAACTTCCTTTCACAAGATCACACTTCACCTGCGCGTAAGGCGATTCCCTTTGAATGAAATATCATAAGCTACAGATCCAGTATTCCCCAGTACTCCTCGTCTCGCATGATTGGCGCGCGTGGGTTCGTCATTCTACAACACGTTTTCCGACTGGAGGGGCTTTTGTCACGTGCCATGCTTCCAACTCTCACGAACTCCCCATGGGACCGGTCATTATTAATCGCATGAGGAGGGGCTAGTAGAGTAGTTTTGGGAGAGTGGAGGGGAGTAGTCTTTCACGGCTAAGCATTCTGTTATAATTACACGGTAGGACCTGGGTATGAGATTAGAGGGGATCAGTCGTCGCCAATAGAGGATAAAAGAGGACTATAGCAAATTTAACGCCAATAAGGGAAATTATAAAAATCCTTCAGAGTCTTTTGGGGGGATCAGGAAAATTTTATGGAGAAACAACCAAAAACACTGCCACCCCTCACCCCACGTGATAATAATGACCAGTCCCTTCTAACTCTCGTAGGAACAACAACTCGAGTGTTCGACTCACACCAGGAGCTCATTAGGGGCTCCTGCTCACACGTGATCAGATCGTATACCTTTCAATTGCGGCAAATTTGTATGCAACCGTTTTCTTTTTCTTATAGTTGATAATGGCCACACGGGAAACATTAAGGTTTAGTTTCCCACGACCTTCAGTGTAGCTCTTGGTTTCGCTTCAAGGAACATTGAACACAGTTCACTGTATGTACGTGTTCTTTAGTGCTAAGGTAAGCCAAGCGTATATTAACCATTCCACCCCTAAGATCTAATAAATAATTCCCCTTACTTTTTGGTATACAATTCTTATGATGTTACCTTAGAGAATTTGGTATTGGATCAACCAATAATTCCCTAGTTGGTGTTGTTCTTTATTCTCATCACTTGTCTGCTTTATATTGCATCGACGTTGTAAGGAGAAATTCCGTCTTGGTCATTCGTTTGAGTTAAAGGGTAAACTAAGAGAAAATTTAATTGTTTTTTATTAATTAATCTTCATTCCTATTTGCTGCAAATTAATTACATATTTCTTCAAAAACAAAAAGATGGAGTTATCCAGTTGGTTTCATGACTCTTTTGAGACCCTTTCATTATTTTATTCAGCTCTCTAAAATGAACTGTTTCGTAAATTGAAATTGCAATAAATTGTTAAATTTTATTCCTTCTGTGGCATGAAAATCACCTCGACGGTGCTTTGAAACGTAACTCCCTGTTCCCAAAGGCAATACTGGAACGCAAAGGCGGTAATCATCGATATCAAGGGGAGCAAAACAATGACTTTTTTTCCATTTTAAAGAAAAATTGTTTTTAAGCTCTAATGTCACAACTCCCTAGTGGACTGGACTTTGACAAGCAGGACATTCAGATTACTCCAGTGATTCTTCGTGGACATAATATTAAAACTGATTAACCGACGATATGGCGATGCTAAAACTCTAAAGGCGGCAATTGTTAGTCTAGGGAAACGAAACAATGTATTAAATTATTTTTAAAACAAAAGTCATCATTCAGGTGGACTGGACTTTGACAAGCTGGATGTTCGGATTACTCTGGCTATAATCGTAAATCTAGCAAAATAATGTGTCTTTTCAATTTTATAGGAAAATCAATTTTCAAAACAAACGTCATAGATCTCATGTGGACTGGAATTTGACATGGTGGACATGCGCTTTATCCCAGTGATTCCTTGTGCACGTACTCCTGTTTCATGTTGAGTCGATCACAGGGCTTGAAGCCTAAGAGACCCTCTAGGAGTTTCCTGCCGTAAGAAACCAGCCGGCTATCGGATAGGAAATGAATCACTATCACGGTGTTCTTGTGGTCGGCCAGAACCTCGCTTGCGCATCTGACTTGCCCCAATAGATGCACTTGAAACAAAAAGTGACTCCTGGTGTAGACACAGCATTCCCAATGGAGCGACTTATTTCTCGGTGAAATCCTCCCATGACTGTAGGACTTGAAAGGCTCAGAATCATCCTCATTGTGATCGACCAAAAATCTATCTCCGTCTCTGACCATTGCGCCTGTGTTGGCTCGCGAAGCCTCTAACGCCATTCCGTCGAGGGTGAAGACCTCGCTCGGAAAAATCTTAAACGCAATCGATAAGATCTCTTCTACAAATTCTTCCCTTGTACAAGGTCTGACCTCTAGTGCAAGGCGGGTAGCAACTTCGTTGAGCCTCTCCACATCGAGATTTTCCAGGTCGATATGATAGGCAATTATGTCTTGCTTGAAAAGAACTTGATCAGCGAACAGCTCTTGTCGCTGGGTGTAGAACTTCTTCGGCGCGTAGAAGAGCTCTCGGGTCACATTCGGGTAGTTTTTACGGATATACTCTCGGTTCGCCTCGATCATTTTAATTTGAAGCCCTTGTTTTCGGAATTTAGGGTGAATTTTTTCTACATCGCATGCAGAGCTTTGGTCACCATTGACAACCACATAACTCCGTAGTCCAACGATTTTTTCATCCATTTCTGCGACGAAGACAGCTCGTTTGCGTTCCGAAAGCCAACCGTGAAATCTGTTGGGAATATAGTCGTGATCTTCGTCTGCTTTATCCTCGTAAGTTGCACGGGAGAGCTCGACTACGGCATCGTAGTCAGCTACAGAAGCGAGGCGGATTTCCAAGTCTTCCATAGTAAACTAGATTTTAAAGCAGTTGCCACACACAGACAAGTCGAGCAAGTGCAAAAACTTCTATGTCACGTAATGTTTGTTAACATTTTGATCTTTCAATGATTTTGTTAGAAATTCGAGATAACAGCTGACTGTTGTGCGTAATAGCCGATCTTCCAATTGGTTGTTTATCACTTAAAGGTAATTAGTTGTTCCATACAAACAACGTAAACAAAATAAAACTTGCAACAATTGTCTGTTTACAAATTTACAAACCTAGTTAAGAGGATAGTCATTTAAATGGTATGAAGCGCTCAGCGCCGAAATAAAGCAATATTTTACGTAAATAAATCTTTAAAACAACTTCTTCAACCTCTTGTACTAAACTCCATTTCTCAAAGTCTCTCTGTGTTATGTTAATACGTCTTGTCGAGCAATCAAACTGAGAAGCTTCATTATCTAAATGTCATTGTTTCTGAAACCCCGCTTGGTTTGCTGTTCTGAAAGGGAACACATTTGAAAAGAAATTAAAATCCACAGGTTTTTTCAAAACCTCATTCATTTTGCAATCTAAAAGAGTTTTATTTTTATGTGTTCGCGTTTTCCATAGAAAAAGTAAGCGGCAATAAATTCCACCCGCTTAGAATTACGTGTGCAAGTCATAAAAGCAAATTCCCAAATCGTCATCGAACAAACATTGTTGTTTATTTTCTAGCCCTGTAAAAACAGATATCCATCTATCGATGAATGGCTGTCTAACAGATACGCTAAAAGAAAAATACATGAAAACCAAAAATTAAGGCCGCGACCTTTATCGTATGGAATGATTTTATGAAGAGGTTGTCACGCATGGGCGTGGTTGAAGTATGAAACCCCTTCTCCCTTACAACGCTCATGAGTCACGCAATGTGTTATGGTTATATGATAATCGAAACCACAGCTCCATTTGAGATGAAGTTCAAGGCATCAATGAGAATTAGAGGTGGATTATAAGTTGACCCTTAACATTCCTGATTTATTGCCAGAAAATTGACAGCTGTGGTCGAGTTAGGCGTACCAAATAGAGTCTGGGGATGATGAAATAGATCACACCAATTTTTCGTCAGTTAACTTTGCTCTCTGCGTTTGAAAATGGCGAAGAAACTGGTAGAATGCTGAAAAACTCTTACAACTTTAAGATGAGAATCAGAGCCACCTTAATAACTGATCAAATAATCTGGATTAGTCCGGTTTGTCAAGTAATTTTTATCCAACGCTGAGAGTCTTATAAATCAAAATAAAATTTTATTATTGCGGAGACTGAAAGCATAGAACACACTAAAGACAACCCGTAAAGGTGTCTCGGTCAAGTCTTACCGTTGCCAAGGTAACATTTTACAATAATCGATGGCCGCGCTCAGTCCCAAGGATTGGAAGAGGCGGGTAGGGGGCGGGTACAAGATGATAATTACATGACGAAGATATCAGCATGAAAACCAAAATGGCGGCGATGTGGAAAATATTTCTAAGAAGTAAAAATGCTGGAATTTTTTCTGTAATCCATGATTGGAGTAAGATCGCTGCCTGCAGAAAGTTTTGTTTGCCAAACAGTTCCAAGTACAGTACAGAAAGTGCGACATCAGCGGCAGAAGAATTCAGCCTTCGGTATTTAGATGGTAAACACGAAGGTAAAGGCGGAAAGATTTTTCGTTATAAAATAACTACGGGATACTACGAGCCCCCTGATTGGCCAAGAATCTAAAATTTATTGCACCGGTGAATCCATGAAAAACTGAAGTTTAATTTATAAAAGCAATAGATCGCATATTAGGATATACTACACAAGTGAAAAGTGCTTTTTCGCATACGCTGATTGGACAGATCCGTAAGTGATTAGGGAGTATTACTCTTTTCTTAGTAGCCGAAGAGACAAAATCGCGCATCAACAATTTAATTTCCCATCATTTTTGGTATATTTAAAGGAAAAAACAATTTTTTTTGGATTGACCTTATACACCTCCGCTTCTTTGCATAATTGTTGAATATTCTAAAACAAAGCTGTAGTCCCAAAGGCAATGTAATGTTCTCTTTATCCAAGACCAGCATGAATGGGTCTGTGTGGAAATCTTGCCTGGTTTTTATGATGAGTTGAACTGAAATACTTTCAAAATGATGGTAAATTGTCTCCTTGTAGGAATTGCCTTGTTTGTAATGAACAGACCAGAAGCAAAAAATGCCATGAGCAAGAATTTCCTAAGACTGGTGAGAGTCCCATCAAGTTTGTTGTGCATATCAGTTAAAGTAGGGGCCATTCCATCCCTTTTTTGCCGATTTAAGGGGTCACTGACATTCAGCAGCTCTACTCTTTTTTCCCTAAACATCAGTATCTATATTCTCCATGCACCTCTCTGTACATTTCCTTTGGTACTGACAAGTAAAATTTGTCTAACAATCAATAGAGCTTCTCAGGTTGGTGATCATTTCCTTTTATTCTCATGATGGTAATGTGTGATTTAACAGTATTACTGTAAGGAGAAATGAGATGCTGGTCACTCTTAGGGTTTAAAGGATCAAGGAGAAAAGGAATTGAAATTGCTTACACATTATATTTTATACTTCTTTCCTATGGCAGTCGTAATGGCTGCTTTGGGATCACCACTTGTGAATCATTCTGTTGCACTTATCACCTCCAGTTATTTCTTTCTTTTAGAATCATGTTGAAGCAATTAAAGCCTTTCCCTGCTTAAGATAGCTTCATCTAAACAGTAACAGAGAGGGTACACGTGAATTGAAGACAGTTATACGCCAGCCCTTTACAGGGTCTTAGGTTTATATGCCTTTGGCAAATTCTTCATTGAGCACAGAAAAATCTCTCATTGCTTTCAATTAATATGTTACAACTTTCTCAAAAATATGCACAAATTTGAATTGACATTATTGTGTGAACATAATCTCATCTTAACATACTTTTTAACAAAGAGAGATGCTCTGAGTATCTTAGTCATAACTGTTCACTTGATTTTGACATTATGATCTTTTTGGTACAGAGAAGCTTTCAACAAGTCAGTTTCTTGTTATTTAGTTTACAGATGCCCTTACTTGTGTGAAGTTTGACAAGAATGTTAGAACTGTCATCATCAAGAGTGATGCGCAAGGTATAAATTCAGTTGTGATATATCAGGTAAAGTATCAGTGAAGGTGTAAAAGAAATTCAGTTTTCAAGGCTAGGTGGCCCTCCAAGTTAGGAAGAAGTAGCCTGGCTGTGAACAGTAGTCTCCTCCCCTTAATAAATTGAGGAGTTCCCTCTTGATTTTTGCATGGATAGAGAGCAGCTGTAGGTAGGCCAAGGAGAACTCATAGTTATTTTCATATGGGTAAATTTGCTGCCTCCTCCAAAAGGGATGCCTGATTATCTCTAGCAACCTCCAGCAGTTTGTCAAGTTTTCTTGGCAATTTGCGAGGAGCACTATTAATCCCTGTGATTGGAGAAAGACTGTGTTGAATGAGGACACAATATGGTGATTCCCTATACCAGTGCTTCATAAACTAATTTTAGGCCTAAAAAATTTCATGCTTGTTTTTGATTTCTTGACCTTTTTTTTCATTCATAGCTAGGGTAACACTCAAGATTTTTTTTTTTTTCATCACTCCTAGGTATTTTCTGTGCAGGAGCTGATCTCAAAGAGAGAGCTAAAATGGCAGCACATGAGGTTGGACCATTTGTATCCATGGCTCGTGCAGCAATAATGGAACTAAACAACCTACCAATGCCTACAATTGCTGCTCTTGATGGCCATGCCCTAGGTGGTGGGCTTGAAATGGCCCTGTCATGTGACTTTAGGATTGCTGCAAGTAATGCTAAAGTGGGGCTGACAGAAACACGTTTAGCAATTATTCCTGGTGCAGGTAAACTTTACAAGAGCTTAGCTTTGTATGGTTTATTGCCTCTTATCCTTGGAAGCTAGGAATTTCACCATCTCTGGAAGTAATGCTACACTCCATGAAAAAATTGATGACACATTGACCTTTCCAACCCCCTATTACTTCCATTTTATCTCGTTTGCCTTTGTTCAGTTAACCTATTTGCTCCTTCCCTCCGAAAAAGAAATTTTTCATGATGTTATTGTGATTCTATTAACCTGAAGATACATACAGGCAACATTGACTGTGGAAGGGGGGTCTTGTCAATGATCTAAAGGTATCAGTGGTAAAGACAGGAGTGTTATTCTACACATAACTATAAGGATTTTTCAAATATGATTTGTCAAATAGTCTTTGATGCTGATCGTAGGTCATCACAAACTTTCTAACCCACCACCCCATATGCTATCACAAGCTGCCTTACCCTCCCCACCCCTCCTTATAGCATTTGATAGGCTACTCTTCACTACAACAGGAAGTAACATAAGGTTATATTCAGAAGGGGTTCTGTCAACAAAGAACTCAGGATGTCTTGATGCCAGTCAGCTATTAGAATTTTGGCCTGGATGTCTGAAATGAGTGACATCTCAGAGCTTTCTCAAGGTTGTCATAATTGTAGGTAACAATATGATTTCGAGTGTAGTTTAGTGTTCGTGAGCACGAGGAAAGTTCTTAAAAGACAATAGAATTGCATACAAGTGCAATTTGTAGTCTTTAAAATATTCACAAGTGCTATTTACACCAAATTGCACTAGAAATCATGTTGTTACTTGTTAATAATTTACATGAAAAACACATCACAGAAATTCAAGATGGACAAAATTTTGGCAGCGTGCACATGCTATTTGTAATTTGCACTTGTGTTTCATGGAAAATGCACTGGTTTTCAGCCAATCAGACGTGCATAATTTATTCATGTACATTATTAGAAAGTGTATGTATGATCTGAACTAAGTAGGCAGCTGTATAATTATTTTGCCAGCATGATGGTTGCAAAGCAACAGGCTTTGATCACAATTCACAGAGTCAGTTGCACAATGATCTGACAGCCTGTGGGTTTCCACTATTTTGTTTAGGAGGGACTCAACGTCTACCAAGGTTAATAGGCATCTCAAAAGCCAAGGAGATGATTTTTACGGGCAAAATGATCAGTGGCACAGAAGCTGAAGAAATAGGTTTAGCTGATTTTGTTGCAGAACAAACTGAAACCGGTGATGCAGCATATCAGAGAGCCCTTGTTCTAGCTGAAGAAATTCTTCCCCGAGGACCTGTTGCTGTGAGAATGGCCAAACTAGCAATCAACAAGGGAATTCAAGTAAGTCCTTTGTATTTTTAAACCCTAAGAGTGACTAACATCTAATTTCTCCTTACAATATTAAAAGTCAATCAATTAAGGTGAGGAGAAAGGAGAACAAACTTTGAGGTCATGAGAATAAAAGAAGTGATCTCCAACTAAAGAAGCTCTTGATTGTTACACAAATTCTCCTTGTCAGAACCTTAGGAAATGTACAGAGATCCGCATGGAGAATATGCATACTGACGTTCTGGTTAAGTTCAAGCAGCTGATGATCATGGAGTAGTTAGTTTCTCTTTTCGACTCTCAGGAATCAAATCTGATGATCACATTTAAGGTTTCTAAATACATCTTCAGACAAGTCTGGCAAGAAAAATAACCCAACAAATTTTAAGTACCTAGTGTTTTTGTATCATCATGACACCCTTTACAAGGTAGTTAACCCTTTAACCCTGTAACTCCCAGAGATGAACATGTAACTTCTCCCAATGATATCCACACATATTCTAGCAAATGTTGATGAGAATACTAAAACTTATCAGTAAGAAGCTTTTATCCTGATCTTACACCAAATTCTCATCACTAATTTACAAGAAATTGTGTAGCAGCAAGACGAGAGAATTAACAATCAGATCTTGGGAGTTTAAGGGTTAATTCTTTAGTTAACAGTGACTAGCAGCCATTTTCTGCTTACAGTGTTTAACCCTTTAACTCCCATGAGTGACCAAGAGAGAATTTCTCCTCACAATATCAATACAATGTCAACCAGATGAGTAAAGGGAATAAAGAAAAATATCAATTTGGGGATAGTTAGTTGATCCAATGCTAAATTCTCTGAACTAACATTATAAGAATTGTATGGTTGACAGTAAGAAGAATGACAAATTTGTTCTGGGAGTTACAGGGTTAAGTGCTGAATCAAATATTAAGGTCATAAGAATTAAAGAAATGATTGCCTACAAAATGAGTTCTTGATTGTTAAACAAATTATCCTTGTCAGTGCCATAGGAAATGCATAGAGAAGATTATGGAGAATATGCACACTGATCTAAAACCATTAACCCTTTAACTCCCAGGATCTGATTGTTAATTCTCCCCTCTACCTGCTACACATGTCCTTGTAAATTAGTTATGAGAATTTGGTGTGAGATCAAGGTAACAACATCTAAATGGTAAGTTTGAATATTCTCATTACCTGTTTGCTGGCTGATGTAAGGATATTATGGGGGGAAGTTTCATTTTGATCACTTCTGGGTGTTAAAGTATTAAGTGCACTCAGATAGTTGAAGAAGTTGTAAATGTTACAGTTATAATTATTATGGTTTTGTTACCAGGTTGACCTCACATCTTCCATGTCATTTGAAGAAGGTTGTTATGCTCAGGTATGTGTGCAAATATTTACATGTGTCTCTTAAAATTGATGAATATTATACAGTAAACAAGTTGAACCAAAGAGTACTTTTGGCAATTAACTCTTTCACTCCCAAGATCTCATTAGTAATTCTCCTTACTGTCTGACATATAACTCTTATGATGTTAGTTCAGAGATTTTGTTCTTTGATCAACTTATGATCCCCTTATTTATATTTTTCTTTATTCTCATCACTTGTCTACTTGACATTGTATTGATATTTTAAAGAGAAATTCTGTTTTGGTCACTCATGAGAGATTAGGGATTAAGTAAGGAGACTTAAGCACTTGAGTGACTAACAGCTGTTAATAACAGAGTTATAACTTAAACCTTTACTGACAAATCTCTCCTCACTTGAGTCTGATTAATGAGTTCTACTAAAGTTGTAAAAATGTTAGTGACTGTGAGACAGCTTACAGTCCTTGTCAGGGCTAACTGAACCTGATGATCAGACTACATGATCAATTTGTGAATGTTAGAAGAAAAGAACTGATCCCTAAAGGTGCGCTTAAAGAAATTGCTGAGAAGACTTAAAAATTGACAGAATTTAAACCAATATTTTATATAAAGGGGTAAGTTTCTAAAGAAACTGTGGTGCTGCGTTGGTGGGAGAGTATAGCAGGTAATTTAGTGTTAACAACTGGGTTGAAAACGTAAATTAGCCACCGTAAAGGGTAAAAAAGCTGACGTTTTGAGTGTTAGCCCTTCGTCAGAGCGATTTCTAATCGCTCTGACGAAGGGCTAACGCTTGAAACGTCAGCTTTTTTACCCTTTACAATATTTTATATACCCTACTAGTTGTACACTTTAACTACAAACAGGGCCATAAAGATACATGTAGAGAGTGTGGGAAATATTAATTAAAATTTTATGCTATTTTAATGGAATGTAGAACTATGTCATTAGTAAAACTTGTAAATCTTCATCCATCAGGTTATACCAACTAAAGACAGACTTGAAGGTCTGAAAGCATTCAAAGAGAAAAGAACACCGCAGTACACAGGGGAATGAAACAAATAACATGGAAGGAAAGCATGGACATGATGAAGTTAATGCACAAGGAAAACAAAACCAAGACTCTGGTTAACCCTTTGGCATTAAGAGTGACTCGCATCTAATTTCTCCTTACAATACCAACCCTGAATCAAGCTTTAAGGTCATGAGAATAAAGGAAATGATCACCAACTAAAGAAGCTCTTGATTCTGAAATAAATTCTCCTTGTCAACACCTTAGGAAATATATAGTGAACTGTATGGAGAAATTGCACACTGATGTACACTCTCCCTTTATCTGCCCATAATAAAACAACTGTCTTACACATTCCTGGTGGAAATCACTATTAAGCAATAATGTATATTTATGTTTATTTAATTCAAGGAGAATTATTTAACTAAATAACATCTTTCCTTCAAAAAGCACTTCTGGCCTATTAAAAATTTTGGCTAAAAGGAGGGGCATTTATTGGAGAGAGGGCACTTGTTATTTTCCTGTATTGTATCTGATGCAGGTTAAGAATGATGATAACTGGCAATAGAAACAGGTTTTTCTTGTATCCCTACTCTTTAGGAAAGTAAAAGGGGGGGGGTGCTTGTTTGACATTATTGCTTGGGGGGGAGGTAGGTGCTTATTAGAGCATGGGTGTTTATTCAAGGAAATATGGTTTAACTTTTATCAATCATTTAATAGTATGAGTAAATTTTAGCAGTTCATGTTAAAATTGCTCTCATCTTAAGGATCTTCTTTTATCAGATTTTCTCTCTTTTGATGACAAGTATTCTGATCTTTTTCCACTCATGTTGGACTTGATAATGTGATTGACCTGTTCCACTATTTCCCCTGCAAAAAAAAAAAAAAAAATTATTTATTTTTAATTTATTTTGTAATACCCTCCAATAACACAGCACCACAGTTTCTTTACAAACTTACTCCCTATGGACCATTTCTACGTTCATAATATAGTGAGTATTTTGTGTTTTGTTCAAACACCAGTGACAGATTTTTCCTGAAAAATTATGCAAAGAAAGGACAGAAAATGTCTCACCTGCGTCATCAGCCTCAGTTTCAAAGTCATAATGTTTAAACTCATGTGCATTTTGACTGAAGTAAACTATTCTGAACACTGATTTGCCATTACTCTTCACTTCAACTGGGTCACAAGCAACCACATTTTCCATATCTATTGAAGTCTTAAAAAAAAAGAAAAGGTAGTTTTACAAGTTAGTATTAAAAGGAAAGAGTAAAAGGGGAGAGTTACCTGGGGAGAGAACTTGAGTTAGTTAACCCTTTTGCTCTCATGATTTCAATTATTAATAGTCATTCTCCTTACTGTCTGCCATACATTTCTTATGATGTTAATTCACAGAATTTGGTACTGGATCAACTAATAATCCCCTAATTGAAATTTTTTTCTTTATCCTCATCACTTGTCTGCTTGATATTGTATTGGGTAACGAACTGACAAAATACTGTGGAA